CTGCTGTCAAAGATCACAGTCTTGAGAGAGTTCTCAGGCTATAATGTGGCGAGGGAAAACCCAAATGGAATTCAATAAGTAGAGTTGAGGAGACAGAGTGCAGAATTGGGGATTAAGTAGTCCTAGAATAAATCCTGCTCTGGTCCCACCTAACAAATCTCAAAAGCAAGATTTGAAAGGATCAAACTGTTCTCAAGTAACTACATCTTAGAACAAAGCTCAAGCGTGTTTACAGAAATATAAAAATACCCAGCATCCAACAAGGTAAAATTCATAACATTTAGCATTCAATGAAAAATTTCCAGGTATGCAAAGAAGAAATGAACGCAGATATCAGAATTAGCAGACAAAGTCATTCAAGCAGCTATCTTAACAGTCTTTTATATGTTCAGAAATCTTGAGGAAGGATGGAACATGTTAGGTAGAGAAAGAAGATATAAAAAAGACTCAAATTTAACTTTTAAAGGGGAAAACTATAATTTATGAACTAAAGAAACCCCAAATGAAACTAATGGCATATTAAACATTGCAGAAGAAAGGATTAGTGAATTTAAAGCACAGAAACTAAACATATCTAAAAGGAAGCATACAGAAAAAACTGAAGAAAAAGAATAGAGTATGGATGGACTATGAGATAACTTCGAGTGGCCAAATATGTATGTAACTAATTCCCAAAGGAAGGACAGAAAAAATATTTGAAAAATTTATGGTTGAAAATGCCAACCAAAACTCCAAAATGTGATGAAAAATAAAAGTTTGTAAGTTTAAGGAAGCTCAGTGAACTCTCAAGCCTAAGAAACCTACGGAAAACTACATCTAAGCACATTGTGACCAAACTGCTCAATACTAATGATAAGGAAAAAAATCTTAAAAGCAGCTTGGGTGGGTGGAGAGAGAGACAGTATGTACAGAGGAACAATAAAGATGACAGATGATTTCTTGTCTGAAGCAACACAAGTGAGAAGACTGTGAAGCAACAACTTTGAAGTATTAGAACAAAAAACTGTCATCCTAGGATTCCACTGCTAGTGAAAATATCTTTCAAAAGCAAAGACAAAATTTCTTTTCAGACATACAGAAGTTAAAATAGTTAATCACCAGGAGACCTGCACTAGAATAAATGTTAAAAGAAAATTCTTCAGGCAAAGAGAAACAACATACAACATCTACACAAAGAAATTGAAGAAAACTAGAACAACATAGATGAAATGGACAAAATCTTTGAAAGGCACTAACTACCAAAGTTCACTAGGAAGTATACATAGCCCTAAGAGCCCTGTTATCAATGAAAGAAACTGAATTTATAGTCAGGGACCTAGTTAGCCTCCTTAACACAGCAGGCAGTGTGTCAGTCTCACGATCTGAAGGTAGTTAATCTCTCACAAGAAAACTTCAGGTCCAACTAGCTTCACTGGCAAATTCTACCAAACATTTAAGAAAGAAATAATACCAATTACAATCAAACTTTCAGAAAACTGAAGAGGAGAGAACACTTCCCAATGTATTATATGAAGCTAATATTACTCTCAATCAAAAATTGGACTAAATCATTACAAGAAAAGAAAATTACAGATCAATATCCTTTACAAATGTAGCTGCATAATTGCTTTCACAGAATTTTAGCAAATCTAATTTTAAAAAGTAACAGTACATCATGACCAAGTGGGATTTATCCCAGGAATGGGATAACATTTAAAAATCAAAGTAATTAACCATATTAGCAAAATTAAGATAAAAAACATAGAAATATTTTAATGAGCAAATAAAACATTGGATAAAATCCAATAACCATTCCTAAGTAAAAAACCAAAACAAAAACTGTAAAATTAGGGATAACATACAGATGGCCGACGTACAGAAAACATGCTCAGCATTCTTTTTTTAAAAAAAGATTTTATTTATTCATGAGAGACACAGAGAGAGGCAGAGACATAGGCAGAGGGAGAAGCAGGCTTCTTGCAGGGGAGCCTGATACGGGACTCCATCCCAGGACCCCAGGATCATGCCCTGAGCTGAAGGCAGATGCTCAACCACTGAACCACCCAGATGCCCCTGTGCTCAGCATTCTTAATCATCATGGAAATGAAAATCAAAACAGTAATAAGATATCACATCATGCCTGTCAGAATGGCTATTACCGAAAAGACAAGAAATAGTAAGTATTGGCAAGGATGTGGTAAAATGGGAACTCTTGTGTATTGTTGGTGGGAACAATACAACATTCTTGTGCATTGTTGGTGGGAACATAAATGGTACAAACACTCTGAAAACATTATGGAGGATCCTCAAAAAATTAAAAATAGAACTACCTTATGATTCAGTAATTCTACTTCCGGGATATTTCAGAAGGAAATGAAAACATTAACTCAAAAAGATAAATGAACTCCCATGTTTACTATGGCATTATTTACAATACTCAAGACATGGAAACAACCTGAGTACCCATTGACAGATATACACAATGGAATATTATTCAGTCATAAATAAGAAGGAAATCCCGCTATTTGCAACAATATGGATGGACCTTGAAGTCCATTTCATTGTGCTGAATGAAAAAGACAGTGAACAAATACTATATGGAATCTGAAAACAAATAAACAAAAAACAAAATCAAAGATACAGAGAATAGATTGGTGGTTGCCAGAGGTGGAGGGTTTGACATGGGTGAAATGGGTGAAGGTGGTCAAAAGGTATATACTTCCAGTTATAAAATAAGTCATGAAGATGTAATGTACATCAAGATGACTACTTATTAATATTGTATTGTATATTTGGAAGTCCTAAGAAAATAGATCTTAAAAGTTCTCATTACAAGAAAAAAATTTATAACTGAATGATGTATGGTAACTGGACTTGTGGTAATAATTTCACAATATATTACATACATCATATCACGTTGTACACCTGAAAATAATATAATGTTATCTACATTATTATCAATATAACCCAATTATAATTCAATTTTTAAAAAGCAGGAAAAAGAAATGGTGTTAAAAATACTAAAATATAAAACTTTTTCCTTCCTTCCAAAAAAACCACATAAAAATCCCTCAGATTAAATTCCTAAAAACAAACGAACAAAAACTTACAAGTTGCACCATACACAATAGTGAAAGAATAACGAAATGCTTCCTCCTATGATCAAGAACTGGACATGTCCACCCTCACTTCGTTTTAACATTGCATTAGAGGTTCTAGCCAATACAAAAAGAAAAACTATGTAAGTCATCCAGATTGAAAAGGAAGAAACAAAAAGAAACAAAACTGTCTTTATTAGTAGATGGCATGATCTATGTATAAAATCTGATGAATCTACAAATATGTTACTAGAGCTAAGAGTCATTTCACAGTAAAATTACAAAATATTGCTAAGAGCAATTAAAGAAGACCCACTAAATGGCTAAATATACCATAGTCAGGCGTCGGAAGACTCAATAATGTTTAGATGAAAATTCTTCAATCTTAAACAAAATTCTATCAGTTTTTTCATAAAGAAATAGATTCTAAAATTCATGGGACTGCAAAAGAACTAGAATAGCCAAAATCACTCGAAAAAGAACAAAGTCAGAGGACTAACATTAGCAAATTTTAATATAAAACTATATTGATATATAAAACTCTGTAATCAAGACAATATATTAGCATGAAGATAGACCAATAATACATCAATGAAATAGAATGAATACGTAGTGCTAAAACAGACTCACATATATGTAATCAATTCCTTTTCAACAAAGGCACAAAAAACAGTTTAGACTTGAAATAATAGTCTTTTCAACAAATGGCACCTAAACAATTGCACATATATCTTTTAAAAGGAACTTCAGTCCACATCTTGCAATATATACAAAAATTCATCCCAAATGGATCATAGACCAACTATAAAACCCGACACTCATAAAACTTCTAAAAGAAAATATAGATTATCTTTGTGTCCTTAGAGTGACCAGAAGAATTTCTTGGATACACTATGAAAAGCACAATCCATAAAGGAAAAAATTTATAATTAGACTCCAACCAAATTAAAAACTGTTAAAAAATGAAAAGACAAAATACAACTAGGAGAAAGTATTTCCAAGTCATGTATCTGAATAAAAAAGACCTATACCCAGAATACATAAAGAACTGTCAAAATTCAATGACAAGAGAACAAAAACACAAATAAAAATGGGCAAAAGAACTGTAATGCGCTATCACCTCATACCTGTCAGAATGGCTAAAATCAACAACACAAGACGCAACAAGTGTTGATGAGGATCTGGAGAAAAAGGGACCCTCTTATACTGCTGATGGAAATGCAAACTGGTACAGCCACTGGGGAAAACAGTATGGAAGTTCCTCAGAAAGTTAAAAATAGAACTACTCTACAATCCAGCAATTACACTACTAGGTATTTACCCAAAGAATACAAAAATACTAATTCGAAGGGGTACATGGACCTGGACGTTCATAGCAGGATTATTTACAATAGCCAGACTATGGAAACAGCCCAAGGGTCGATTGACTGATGAATAGATAAAGAGGATGTGGTATATATACACAATGGAATATTACTTGCCCATAATAAAGAATGAAGTCTTGCCATTTGCAATGATGTGGCTGGAACTAGAGGGTATTATGCTAAATTCCATTTTGGTGTGGTCTGTCCTATAGAACACTTATGCCAGGGTGCCTGGGTGGCTCAGTCAGTCAGATGTCTGGCTCCTGATTTTGGCTCAGGTCATGATCTCAGGGTCATGAGATTGAGCCCCACATCAGCCTCCACCTTCAGTGCAGAATCTGCTTGAGATTCGTTCCCTCTCCCAAATAAATAAACAAAATTTTTTTAAAGTCTCTAGACTTTTTTTAAAAATTAAGTTATTTAAAATTGACCTATAATTGACATTTAACTCAATAAAGAGTTTTAAAAATTTAAATAAATTATTGGTTTCAGTTTACACGGCCACCATAACAGATGCAAAAGCAAGATAATTTTAAACTGGATTTAAGATGATACTCACCCTTTTCCGTGCTTCAGATTTCTGGAAGCACTCGTGCTGTATGAAAGTAGCTGCAGCAGAAATTCTGGGTGGTGGTGTGTGGTCTGCATCGAGCATACTCACTGCTCGCTCTAGAGTCATCTCCATGTCTGCATTCCTAGACAAACAGTCACAGATTCAGCTGAATTCCAAACCTGCTCCCTCTTGCCTACCAATATGATCCTCCAGAAATGACTCGGCTAATATCCTAAAGCACCTAGAATATCTGAGCCTTGGTTTTTCTTTACTCAAAAGAAATCAGCACCTGAGATCAGAAGGTATAGGCAGCCAGCAGTAGAAATATTCCAGCTCTGGTCAGAATGGCTTCTGAAAATGTCACTGAATTGAGCAGAATTGTAATATATACCAAAGAATGAAAATCAACTGTTTAAGATAAATATATGTGTTGTATGATAATTACATATTAAAAGGTCACTTTAAAGGCACAATAAGGGATGCCTGGGTAACTCAATCAGTTGCTCAGGCCTTGCATGAAGCTGCTTAAAAAAAATAACAATAAAGATAAAATAAATAAAGGCACAATAAAGCTTTACATGGACTTTAAATTTTTTTATTTTTTAATAAGATTTTACGTATTTATTCATGAGAGACAGAGAAAGAGGAAGAGACATAGACATAGGCAGAGGGAGAAGCAGACTCCTCACAAGGAGCCTGATGCGGTACTCGATCCTGGAACCCCAGGATCATGCCCTGAGCCAAAGACAGATGCTCAACCGCTGAGCAATCCAGGCACCCCTTTACATGACTTTAAAATAAATTTGGTTTTAGAAATTAAAAATTGTTTCTACCATGGTAATGTTATACCCGTGGATGAAACACCTTCCCTCAATAATCATTAGATATTTTTCAAAGCTCCTCAGAATCTCTTATTTCACCTAAAAATGAGTTTTAAAATAAGCATTCGGGCAGCCCAGGTGGCTCAGCGGTTTAGCGCTGCCTTGGGCCCAGGGTGTGATCCTGGAGACCCGAGATCCAGTCCCGCATCAGGCTCCCTGCATGGAGCCTGCTCCTCCCTCTGCCTGTGTCTCTGCCTCTCTCTCTCTCTGTGTGCCTCATGAGTAAATAAATAAAATCTTTAAAAAATGAAATAAAATAAAATAAAATAAGCATTCAAAAAGTTTTTGGTTTTTTTTTTTTTTTTTTAAGGTTTTATTTATTTACTCATGAGAGACACAGAGAGAGAGAGGCAGAGACACAGGCAGAGGGAGAAGCAGGCTCCACGCAGGGAGCCCGATGCGGGACTTGATCCCAGGACCCCGGGATCACAACCTGAGCCAAAGGCAGACGCTCAACCACTGAGCCACCTAGGCGTCCCCAAAAGTTTTCTAATTTAATAAATATAACAGTATATAAACAGTAAAAGCCAGGGAAACCAAGCTTTTGTTCAAATAAGTCATGCTGATGTCACAGAATTCATCAGGAAAGGTAATGATTAAGCACAATTATAAATACATTTTTTCTTAAAGAAAACAATTTTATACACATTCTGTTGCCATTTGCTTTGCCATTGCAATGACATTTGGTTTATGTCTATCTAGTAGCATACCGTTTTTTGTCCTTTACTAACTATGGTATGTATAGTGATGATGAAGCCCAATGCAGTTTGACACAAGAGAGGATAATTTATAGAGGACAAATAAAATTGCTACTTGTAAACAATAACTCCCAAATGCCTCATTGAGCTGGGTTTTTTTCCCTTTTATTTCTGCCTGGAGGGTAACTAGGTTAGGCAACCTATTATCCCTGTGGATGTTAACACATTCATGCTTCCTTAAGCATTGACTCAGAGAAAGCAGACTCAGGATGGCAACATCTTAGAATTGTGGCTAAAGACATGCCTTAAAGGTATCCTAGGACTTTGGCTTCAAAGAGAGTTATACCTGATTCATTCCTGGTAATGGAGAATAAAAAGACAGCTTGGCAGGGTGTTTTCCAGTATTTGCTAGCGAGCACAATGAATACAGCCATACCATATTTAATTGCACCTTACTCTACCATGCTTTGCAATATTGCTTTTTTAAAAATTTTAAACTTGTGGCAGGCTTGTGTCAAGCATGCCTGTCAGAGCTATTTTTCTAACAGCATTTTCTCACCTCGTGGCTCTGCATCACATTTTGGTACTTCTCACAATATTTCAAATTTTTGCCATGGTGATCTGTGATCAATGATCTTTGACGTTACTATTTATTTGGCAGGGTGCCAAGAACCACACCCACATAAGTTGGTGAACTTGACTGATAAATGTGTGTGTTCAGACTGTTCCACCAACTGGCTATTCCCTCACCTCCCTCCCTCTCCTCGGGGCCTCCCTATTTCCTGAGACACAGGTTGAAATTGAGCCAATTAATATTGAAATATTAATTGCATTAATTAATAACTCTACAATGGCCTCTAAGTGTTCAAGTGAAAGAAAGAGCTAGTTGTACATTTCTCACTTTAAATCAAAAGCTAGAAATTATTAAGCTAGGTGAGGAAGGCATGTTGTTGAAAGCCAAGACAGGCTGACAACCAGGCCTCTTGCACCAGTTGGCTAAGTTGTGAACGCAAAGGAGTTCTTGAAGGAAACAGAAAATTCACTGCAGTGAACACACAAATGATAAGGAAGTGAAATAACCGGGTGCCTGGATGGTTCAGTCCATCAACAGAGTCTGCTTCTCCCTCTCCCTTTGCCCCTCCCCCCAGTTCAGGCTCTCTTTCTTCTCGCTTGCTCGGTCTCTTGAGTAAATAAATCTTAAAAAAAAAAAAGGGTGAGACAATCTTATTGCTGATATGGAGAAAGTTTCAGGGGTCTGGATAGATGAGCAAACTAGCTACAACATTCCCTTAAGACAAAGCCTAAGCCACAGCAAGGCCCTGACTCTCTTCAATTCTGTGAAGTCTGAGAGAAGTGGGGAAGCTACAGAAGAAAAATGTGAAGCTAGCAGAGGGTTGGTTCATAAGGTTTAAGGAAAGAAATCATTTCCAAAACATATAAGTGAAAGGTAAAGCATCTTTAAAAAAAATTTATTAAAAAAATTATTTATTTGAGAGAGAGTGTGTGTGCATGCACGGGGGCAGGGAGCTGGGGGTACAGGGAAAGAAAGTCTTAAGCAGACTCCTTACTGAGTGAGAGCCAAAGTGGGGCTTGATCTCACAACCCTGAGATCAGGACTTGAGCTGAAATCAAGAGTTGCATGCTTAACCAACTGTGCCACTCAGGTGTCCCTTAAGGTGAAACACTTTTAAGGATATATAATTTTTAATTTTTTTTATGAGAGAGAGATAATATGTGCAATGGGGGGGGGGAGCACAGGGAGAGAGAGAATCTCAAGCAAACCTCATGCCCAGTGCAGAGCATGATACGGGGCTCGATCTCACAACCCTGAGATCATGACCTGAGCCAAAATTAAGAGATGGACACTCAACTGACTGACCTACCCAGCACCCTTAAGTGAAGTACTTTTGTAGAAGCTACAGCAAGCTATCCAGAAGATCTAGCTAAGATAATTAATGGAGGTGGCTACATTAAAAAACAGATTTTCAATGTAGACAAAGCAGCTTTATATTAGAAGATGCCATCTGAGACTTTCATAGCTAGGGAGGAGAAGCCAATGTTTGGCTTCAAAAAAACAGGCTCTTTTGTTAGGTACTATCACAGCTGGTGACTCTAAGTTGAAGCCAATGCTAGGTGACCATTTCCAAAATCCTGGGGCCTTTAAGAATTATGCTAAATCTACTTTACCCTGTGCCCTATCAATGGAACAACAAACCCTGGGTGACAGCACATTTTTCTGCAATATGGTTTACTAAGTATTTAGCCCACAATGGTGGGCTAACCCTCTGTTCAGAAGAAACAGATTCCTTTCAAAACATTACTGTTCATTGACAATGCACCTGGGTCACTCAATAAATCGGATGGAGATATACAACGAGATTAATGTTGTTTTTATGCTTACTAAGACAATATCCATTCTGCAGCCTATGGATCAGTGAGTAATTTTGACTTTCAAGTCTTATTATTTAAGAAATGCATCACTGTGACAGCACATATACTAAAACTGGAACTATACAGAGAAGATTAGCATGGCCTCTGCAAAAGGATGACATGCAAATTCGTGAAGCCTTCTACAGTTTTTCTAAGTCAGGAATAAAAGGCACAGCATAAGTATAGTCATTGATACTATAATAGGCTTGTATGGTAACAGATGGTAGCTACACTTGTGATGAGTATAAGCATAATGTATAAACTTGTTGAATCACTATGTTGTATACCTGAAACTAATATAACACTGTTTGTAAACTACACTCAAATAAAAAAAAATACACTGCATAAAGCTGTAGCTTCCATTGATAGTAATTCCTCTGATGGATGTGGCAAAGTAAATTGAAAAAATTCTGGAAAGGATTCACCATTTTAAGTGTCATTTAAAAGCATGCCTGATTCGAGGTGTCTGGCTGACTCAGTGGAAAGAGCAAGTGACTCTTGATCACGAGGTTGTGAGTTTGAGCCCCATGTTGGGTGTAGAAATTACCTAAATAAATAAAACTAATTAACCAACTAAAGAGCATTCCTGATTCATGGGAAGAAGTCCATATATCAACATTAACAGAAGTTTGGAAGAAATAGATTCCAACCCTCACGGATGACTTTGAGGAGTTCAGGACTTCAGTGGAGGAAGTAACCGCAGATGTGGTGGAAATAGCCAGAGAACTAGATTTGGAAGTGGAGACTGAAGATGGAACTGAATTGTTGCCATCTCATGATAAAAATTTATAGATGAGGAGTTGCTTCTTATGGATGAGCAAAGAAAACGGTTTCTTTTTTTTAAGATTTTATTTATTTATTGATGAGAGACACACAGAGAGAGAGAGAGAGGCAGAGGGAGAAGCAGGCTCCATGCAGGGAGCCTGACATGGGACTCGATCCTGGGACTCGATCCTGGGACTTCAGGACCATGCCCGGGGCCAAAGGCAGGCGCTAAACCACTGAGCCACCCAGGGATCCCCAAGAAAACGGTTTCTTGAGATGGAATCTATTCCTGGTGAAGAAGCTGTGAAGATTGTGGAAATGACATCAAAGGCATTAGAATATTACATCAACTTAGTTGATAAGCAGCA